TTCTTTGGAACGACCCGTCGGAAAACATACTGGAATCGGGCGGATCTCAGCAGTTCTGGGGCCTGGGCCCGCTAGCAATTTTTTTTTTTTTTTAGGGCGATGGCCTTCTGGTATTACCATCGGACTAACCTGGGGCGTGGAGTCCTGGAGGCTGGACCCACTGGCGAAGTATTCTACGACGTGCGGCACAATTTTATGTTTTTTTTGGAAAATACAAAGTGGCCTGATAGCCTTAGGGAAGTTAGGGTGGCCTGATAGCCTTAGGGTGGCCTGATAGCCCTGGGGTGGCCTGATAGGCTATGATAGCCTTTTCAGCCAAGGGTTGCCTGATAGGGAGTGATAGCCTTAGGGTGGCCTGATAGCCCAGGGTGGCCTGATGGCCTTAGGGTGGCCTGATAGCCCGGGGTGGCCTGATAGCCTTAGGGTGGCCTTTTCAGCCTTGGGGCAGGAAGCTGGTGGCCCCATGGGAACCTCCCACAAGGACTGCAAGATGTCCTTGTGGTATACAATGTGGAAACACGCGGGCAGTGGTAGGAATGACGGAAAAGAAAACAAGAAAAGAACACGGACGTGAAAAAAAATAAATAAAGAGAGATCATTGTTTTTTTTTTTTTTTTTTCCCTTTGGTGACTGGGTCGCAGTCACGAAAGCAGTTTATGAATGCAATTGGAACTGCCTGTTTGCAGTACAGTACTGCCACAAGTTTCAACTGCAGTCGAAACACTTCACAGCATAAAAGTCGCAATGCCGAGTTTGCAACTGCAGTCCAGTCCGCCATGTGGCCTCTTTTTTTTTTTCACAGTCCAGGCCGCCAGTCGTGGAAACCAAGAGTGAATCTTTCGGTAGAGCATGGAAAGATGCAGGGCCACGCTCTTTTTTTTTTTTTTTTTTCTTGTTTCTTCTTCTCTTTTTTCGGAAAACGGCCTGGCCGACGTGGATGACTAGACTGCAGTTACAAACTCTACCCTGCGACAGCCACGCGACGGCGGAGTTTGGACTGCAGTGTAAACTTGAGAGGGGACTGGACTCCAAAACGGTAGTTTGAAATGTATTTACAAACTGCAACC